AGGTAAACATGTTATCGATACACAGGGACCTTACAGTTATTTAACGCTTACCTCAGGGGGGTGTGTGTAATTTACCCTAATTATAAACATAAAAAGTTATAAAGTCACATATCACTATTGGAACTACTAATAAAAATTGTTTATTTATTTATTTACTTATTTATTTATTAAATGGCCCACTAATTTAATTTCTTTTGGGGTCATTTTTTGTTTTCCTTTTGATAAATGCCCCTTTTCTCTCAAGTCGTCACTTTTTCCTCTCCATGACTCACAATTTTGCCTATCTTTTTTATTTACTTTATGGCTTAATTAATTATGAGAATTGAAACCACCTCCCTACGGTAAGATGTAATTAAAAACTCATTATTTTTAATAAATTACATCAAGATACTTGAAATTTGTAAATTTCTTACATTCGCCCCCAATAAAAGGGTGTCAATGTAAGAAATCTACAAACTGCGGGGGTGAATGTAATTATAAAAACATAAAGGGGCTTTTTCGTAAATATCATTGACAATTAAAAGAAGTTATTATATAATCATAAATAAATAAATGTGTGTAGTATAAAATAAACGATATCGTCGATACTACACTTTATGAAATGCATTAGGTAATTTTTCATCTTAAATATATTAAGTGCAATATATGTACGAATTTATGCATGTGTATGGGACAATAGATATAGAACCTAGTGAAAATTCAGTGAATGTGCCTACAACATACATAAATAAACTATGTAAGAAATCTAAGTATAATGTAATGTTTCCATTTATTTAGTAGTACAACAATGAATATTAATTAGTACATTGGATTAATGAATTTGGTTAATTAGTGAAGATCCCTAACAACTCCACTTTGAAAATTAAAGAACATGACAAAAAAATTATTAAGGACAATTAATTAAAGTATGCATCGAACGCGGATTAAACATGTGACTTCTCTCAAACACATTATTCAACAAAGTACACACAACAATTGTGCTTACATTTTTCAAATTCTTGATACTTTCAAGAAATATATATAGAGACAAAATTGTTGTGTTTGTGATTATCCTTTCCTTATCTTTTCATTATCCTTAATTAATTAACACTAAATTTAATACACATGTATAGAGTAAATTATGGCCACCCCTGATGTAATGTCAAATTACGAAAAAGTCCTACCGTGTGGGTAACTACATGTATGCATCCATCTCCTCAACTATGAATCTTCTTACGTGTCCATTCTTGCGGCGTTAAATTTAGTGGAAATTACTAGATTATGTGAAATATTCTTCAGTTTGTAGCCGTCTCCCGTTTTACCCCATTCAAGTCCCACATTTTGAAACAATATATATGATCATAATATGTGTATCTTGACTTGTAGATATCGGATTGTGATGCATCAGAAACTGCATTTTTGCACAAAAAACGAGTACAAACTAGAGAAAATTCAACGGAATCTAGAAGATTTAGTCGAATTTGACACCATAATGGTGGACGTGTAAGAAGATTCGGAATTGAGGAAGGTAATTATCATTACCCAAACAATATAGATTTTTTTATAATTTGACATTATCTAAGAGGTGGTCGTAATTTACCACATATATATATATATATTGTAAATATAAAGCATTTTGAGTAAAGAAAGAAAAAAGATTAATTATTTTTTTTTCAAAAGAGTTGGAATCTTGAAATCCTAGTCAATATAGAAAATCTGATACTCCGGAAAGGCAACAGTTTCTTTTTTTCTTTTTCCTAAATTTCACTGCTACTACTTCAAATACACAAAATTAAAGTGTTTTGTCAAAGCAGCAGAAAGATTAATCTTTATATATATTTTATTATTAT